GATAACAGGAACCTCCATCCTATAAAAATGCATCTGGCACAGGGAGGTGAAGGGCACCTGAGCAAAGCTGTGCTCTGAGATTCCCAAGGGGCTGTGCAGTTAATGGATGGATCAGTTGGGCACTGTAAGGCTGGGCCTCTCTATTTATGCACCAATTATAATTGTAGAAACACCCAGTGTAATTAAATCAAGTTCCACCGGCAATTTCCATTACCCAGATGTTGTATCTGATTGTGCTTCATAAGCTTGGAAACTTATGTTCTCTGAAACACCCAATCCCCCTCAGCAAGCTGGATTTTCACTGGATTTGTTCCTCCCAAGTATACAAAGTGATTCTTAAGGTGACATTTGCAGGCTTTGAGGACAGTATACTTTTGAGCAGATGTTTGTGTGAATGTCATTGACCTTTAAAATCCTTCAATTTATTCACTGAGTTAATTATTTGTTAGACAGTTGTTCATTAACTCACGAATAAAGTTCCAGCATCTTCCTTAGATTTTCGTATTAGTACCAACATGAAAGAATAGTTTTCTGTTTTGGCACATGTTTTAGAAATAATTTACTATTAATACTGCAGATATTAACATTATTCCTATGATAGAAATAAACATAAAGGAACTAATTATTACAGCACACTTTGAAATTTCAGCTGAGAATTGTATAAAATGACTTCTTAAGTTGATCTGTGTGCAGCTTTAATTGATCAGTATTATGTGGAGATCTTATTTTCTGGAAAGACTGATACACCACTCATTACAACATCCTATTTCAACGAGCATCCAATTATTTTTACTTTTTGTATTTAGGACTGACCCCATTTTATACCATCAACCTTAGTCTATAAAACCAACTGAATGGCAAGAAACTCCAGGATTTTTCTGGTGCCCATGGTGGATTACTGATTGCCACTCCAGTGGTGCTTCCAACCCTTACTGTGACAAATCCATACAAGTATTCAGCCACCTCATTCCCATGACAAGTTCTAATGAAATTTTCTTTGTCAAGAGTAATGGTTCCTGCTGCTGGAGAGTGACTGGGCCATTTATTCAAATATTCAAGTATTTGGACACTCCCAAGAACCCCTGGTGAAAAGAAAGAAAAACAAAAGAAAGAGCAGAGTTCTGAAGGGCTGCAGGGAAATTGCAACTTGCATAGGATTGGAGTTGGGGCAGACTGGCATCTCTCAATAAAAATCTAAACTAAATACTGGAAAAATGAGGAGGCTGTTTGTAGTAAAGCGGGAATCAGGTTTTCCTGCCAGTGAATCAGCACATTGGGTGCTGAACGGTTGTTGTACTGATTCCATGTCTAGAAAGGGAAATGAATGAAGTAAAAAATAGGGTGTAAGCTGATTCTGAAATGGTGGACAGTGAAATATTAGTTCTGATCAGGTGACCCACTAACCATGAAAAGGGCTCTGGAAATATAGTGATCACAGGTGTGATATTGTAGTTAAATTGTAAAAGTAAAGAAGCTGATAGGATTTCTCTCCTACCATTTTGGCTTAAAACACCCCAAAACAGTCAGAAAGATTTTTTTTTTTAGTACATTTTCTTAGGTTGGTGTGTATTTATTATAATAATTTTAAATTTTGCTTGTGGATGGGTGTTTCTGGACACACACCTCATGTTTCTGTCCCTGGTACAAAGCAGAAGGTGTGGAAGAAGCAGATGGTGACTGTGGCCATCCTCTCTCTGTTTTATATACTGATCTGAGGATCAAACCATCAGTTGCAGCTGCTTGGCATTAAGCAAAATGTTTTTTCTTCTCCCCTGTTCTTTACAAACAGGGAAATCATTATGATACCACAAACAACAGTGAATTATTGAAAGTGTTGGTGAAGTGCTCTTGACCTTTTCTTCTCCTCTGTTTACCTGCTTTCCACAGTGATGCTTTTGGCTACTCATTTAATCAGTCATTGCTGTTAGACACCAGGGGATGATAAGACAGAGAGAAATCATCATGAAAAATCCCTATTTAAAAAAAACACAGAGAGATTTGAAGAATAAACAGTGTGAAACACACTCAGAGAAGAAGCACTCACGTTTCTCTGCCCAATCTGCATAAGCTTTTTTCTCCACGCAACAGACTAATTGTGCTTAGAAACAAAAATAAACAAGCAAATAATTCTATTTACTTTTCCCCCCCCCCCCGTTCCAAAGTCCTACTTGGAAATCTGGACTTGAAGGCCTTAAGTCTTACTACCCTGCTGCTTTCCTTTAGAACTTCACTTCTTTATATTAATGACTTCAGTGTTGATTCATTGGATATAATTAGGGCTTTTCTTACATCTGTGGACCTTTGGAAAAGTGCAAGGATAACCTGTCATGGGAAAGGGATGAACTAATTGCTTAGGGGTCTATGACTACCAAAACTGGGAGATCTGGGTATTGAACAATCTGAAAATTCCCTTTTCCTCTTCAAACATAGGAAGAAACATGAAACAAAGTCATGGTGGATGGGGCTCAGAGCAGAGTGATCTGGTTGAATATGTCTTCAGCTCTGCCAGGGGAGGTTTAGGTTGGCTATCAGGAAGAAATTCTTTACAGAGAGGGTGATCAGGCACTGGAATGGGCTGCCCAGGGAAGAGGTGGATTCTCCATCCCTGGAGGTGTTTAAGATGAGACTGGATGTGGCATCAGTGCCATGATCTGGGAACCACGGTGGGGTTGGATCAAGGGTTGGATTTGATGATCTCAGTGGTCCTTTCCAACCTGGCTGATTCTGTGGTTCTGTGATTCCATGTCCCTGCTTATTGCAGAGAGCTTGGGCTGGGTGGTCTTAAAAGGCCTCTTCCAACCCAAACCACTTCACGATCCAAAGCTATGTAAATGTGAATGGCTGGCTCATGTGCAAAGAGCACGTGCCTGGGAGTTCTCCTTGACACCTTCATGGGCTGAAGGACAGCCATGAAGGTGGGAATGAAAGCTGGGAGCATCTGAGCCTCGCTGCTGCTGCTGAGCTGCAGAACTGGTGTCTCCTTGTGGATGTGCTGATAGTCCCCGTTCCTGTCCTCAGAAGTGTCCCAGGCACGTGCCAGCCAATCTGTCTGCTGTGTTTACAGTGTAAGTGATTTTGAAAGCTCACTGCTCTGGGCATTTGCCTTTGGAACAGAATTCAGCTCTTTCCTTTTTAGTTGACACTTCAAATGTTTTTATCTTGAACTTTCTCATGAATTTTTATTAAGGAAAATTCTTTTGGGAGAAGAGTTGAAAGACAAAAATAGGGACCCGAGTGGCCTTCAGACTGAAAGATTAGAGGGAAGTGGCAAAGCCTTTGGGAGAGATGGGAACTCTGTCAGGGGGAGCCTCAAAAAGTTATGAAAATTGGCAACCTTGTGAGAAGGGATTCTCTGTGTGGTTCCCACTGCTCTTTGACTTTATCATGACTAAAGCAAATGGGTGAAAACTTGAGTTTCCTTTGCTGCTGTTTGTTGTCAAATTTGAGAAGTGATGCTACAGCTGGTGGAGGTAGAGCAGAGTTTTGATGATGGGAGACTTGTTAGATGGGAGGCACTGACACAGACGGCAGCAGGAGCAGCCTGTGGAGATCTTGGCTGATGGATCTAATTTGTGCCACCAAGAAAACTCATCCAGCTTTGGAATTTTATAAAAATACAGCCTAGGGATGGTGCTTTTGTTATGTAACGAAGTATCAGCTATTAAAACAACAACATGGATTCCAGAACTGACTGAGAAACTTCAGTTTTGGGAGTTCATTCATGAAGAGAGCAAAGTGTTATCTGTAGGATGTAACTGCCTTATTGGAATTAGACATTTAATTCAACTTGTAATTTTTTGGGGGTAAAATTGTCGAAACAACCTGAATGAATAGTAGTGATCAAAATCTTTTTCAGTTCCACAGTTCCCAATGCACTACAAATGTGTATTTTGTTGCTTTTGTTGGGGTTTTGTTTGTTTGGTTTGGTTAGTTTGGGGCTTATTGTTTGTTTGGTTGGGTTTTTTTGTGTGGGTTTCTTTGTGTTCTTTTTTGGGTTTTTTTCTTCCTAAAAAGGGGCCTAGATCAAGAGAAGAGCTCTGGGAGATGGGGAGAGGCTGTTTTTGACCTTGGTAGTGACTGTGCTTGGAGAAGAGAGTTGCAGAGACTGTAGGAGGAAGCAAAAGAAAAAGAGGGTGGAGCTGGAAAGTTGCAGCTCCCGCAGGGAGAGCACTGAGAGGATCAGAAAGCAGAAGGGCAGAGGAAGCAAAGGTGTGATGGACAAAGTTTTCCAGGGGTCAGAGGCTGCTGTGAAGAGTTCACTGTGGCTCATAAAAGTGCTGAGTTGCCTGAAGCTCAGCTAGAAATAAATACTCCAGAAAATGCAGCAGGAAAAGCAATACCTGTGTTTAAAAAGCTTCCACTTTTGTTCTTTCTGATGATACAGTGTGAAATTTTCTCTAAGGAGAAGAAAACCCCAACACAAAGCACCCAACACCAATTAACCTGCTGGCTGATATTTTAAGTTACATGTGGGGTTTTGGAGTCTATTTTGAAGTTACAAGCTTTTGGTGTTTATTTAGGGTTCATTACCCGCTGACAGTGTCTGCAAGTTCAGTGTCAGTTCTGTTTGATTGAGAGCCTGGACTGAGAAGCAAGTGAGTAGAGATGCAATTTAGGACATGAAAATTATGTAAAGACATTTGAAGTGTGGCTTTTTACTGGTCTTGTTAGAAGTATTTGAGGTAAGCCAGACCTTGCATAAGATTTATGATTTCAGCAGTCATCAGGTTAGGATGGTAACACACTTTCTTAGCTTTGTAATTTGTCTACATGAAGAGAAAATGAATATGGGCTGTCTGCTGTCACTGTAATAAGTACAGTAACCTGACAGATTTAAATACCTGGTTTGATATGTTATCACTAATTGCTGGGGAAACATGTAACACAGAACTTAGAATGTGGTGGTTCATGTTGATTTTGCCTAAAGATGCAGTGGATGGCAATAACGACTGAATAGTGGGTTGGAAGTTTTTGTAATTGCTCTGTTTCTTTTCTTTTAGGAAATCCTAAAACTAGAAGGCAACGCTGGAATTCCAAGACAAAAAAGGGCTATTTTGGCAACTCCAATATTAATTCCTGAAAATCAAAGACCACCATTCCCCAGACAAGTTGGCAAGGTGAGTCAACCTAGACCTGGATAGAATTCTGTTATTAAGTAATTGAGCTCTTTCTCTTAAGGGTTTGCAATGCCTGTCACATTGATGGTAATATTCCAACAGCATTTGGAAATATCAAACTGAATCAGGAAGATTGTTTTTCTGTCTGTGTTGTGTAGACAAATGGCAATGGCTTGTGCAGACAGCTGGCAATAGTTTGTGCTCATGGCAGGATTTCATGGGAAGGGCTTTAATCAGAGGTGTGGTTTTAATGCAGCTGCTCTCTTCAGGAGAGTTTGCTGCCCACCTGTGTGTCTGGGTGCTGGGTTGGGGCTGAGATCTTGGCCAGGAATGTTCTGAAGAATATCCCACTGCGTGGTATGGGATATCTTGTTTCCATCTCAACTCTGGAAGGAAATCATAAGGTATTCCATGTAAAAGCATTATTTTTGTTCGTTCTTTACATTAGTTCATTGAGTTAATTTCTCATGGCCAAAGGCAAAATATATGTCAGTAGATGTTTCAATATATATTAGTAGATGTTTCCATTTTTATTTTTGGTTGTTTGTAGAGGTCTGAGAAACAAGTGGAAAGTTTTTTTTCTTGTGTCTGCAGGTGATCAGAGAGATGAGGGTCTTAACAGCCACTTTTCCAGAACTTCAGATATACAAAATAATAAAAAATAAACCACCAGTAATTGTTCAAATGGCCATGAAGGCATGAGAGGTTATAATTACATGAATATAGTTTTCATGTTGGCAGTTTTGACACGGGGACTGCTCTGCCTCCCTCAGACTTTAGTTGGTGTGTTAATGCCGTGGTGGCACACACAGATGTGGAGTTTGTTCCTAACTCCCGTTGTGTGATTGCTGGAGCCAAATACACAGCTCAAGGGCACGATTTTACTCTACAATTGATGCCATTTAGTGATGCAATCATGTAATTAAGCCAACAGGCACCTAATCAGTTACTTAAATAATTAGGAAAATTTGTTTCCTTATCAGTAAAAAGAAAGAATAATCTATGAGGATTTCATTTTTCTCCCCTCTCTCCACCAATAATTTATACTGGTTTCATAAATTTCTGTAAGTTTTTTATTTTTTAACATTTTTCTAAACTTTCCAAAGCTATTTCTGAACAGTGAAGGCCTCCCTTCACATTTCAATCTTTGAGAATCGATGATTAATAACTATCGTTGTGATAAATAGTTAATTCTTAAGACTTGTTCAATTTTAAAGCTGTCAAAGAATGGAAAAGGTTACTTATACCCAGCCCTCTTCCACCCTTTCTGCTCGTGAACACTGAATATTTGGATCTCAGGCAACCTGAGTTGCTTTGTAGAAATGCCTTCATTGTTTTTATTGGAAGTTTGGGATGATGGTTGTGGTGACTGAGGCTCCTGAAGCACAAATGAGACCAATCAGGTCCTGGTTGTGCTGAAATGTTTTCCTCACATCCTGTCAGCCTGATCTGTTGCCGTTCCTGAAGTGCTACTCAGGGATCACAACAGGATGTGCAAACACAGGAGTGGAAAAGCATCTGTTGGGTTGTTTTTCAAAGGCCCTGAGAAAACCTGTCCTCCACTGATGTTTAAATTATAGGAGCTGCAAATGATCAGCACCCTGAAACGCTTTGAGCTGTCATAATTTTTACCATTCTTTACGGGATTCTTTTTTGTTTTTCAGCATAGTTCTAATTTAGGGATCAAGCTGAGTATTTTGGCTGCGGTTACTGCGAGTAGAAAAATAGATTGTAAACGTGTCATGCGAGACAAAAAGTTTAGAGGTGTTTGAAATAATGGAATTTGCAGTAATTTGCAACTGAATGCTGACCAAAGTATGAATAAAGAGCTTTGGAGCCTCAGACACACCGATGGGAGGGAAGAGAGTTTGTTGTTCCCCAGCTAAGAAATTCAGTTGGAATCAATGCAAAAATGACATTAAAATAAAATAAAAGCAATTCTTTTATTCTTTTTCTTGACTTGTCACAGATCTTCATAAGATGGGCTGTGAACTCTTCCTGAGTAGAATGAATGCTTCTATTAATCCAGATCACTTGTTTCATGGACTTGTTTCATGGATCCTGCACAAAGTGTAGAAAAAGTTGATCATCTGTCGCACCTAAATTTAGGTGTTTGTTGTGAAGTTTATGTAGCTTCATGGATTTGAAAAAAACCCACCATTTATTTACCCACTTCTGTAAGGCATAAGGAACACATTTCCTCTTCTAAAATATTTTGGGACCTCCACAGGGCACCGCTGATGCATCATGGGCTGATGAGCTGCAGCTTCTGCTGGGGATGGGTTTCTCTTGAGCTTCAGCTTTGCCACCTCTGGTCTGCTGTGATCCCTGCAGAGGGACACTGCAGATGGATTCAGGAGCTGTGCTTTCTGTAGTGTTTTGGGGAAGAGATTAAACATTCAGAGAATGGATAATTTGTGCATTATAATAGAATTTCAAAAATGAGAAGGAATGTGAAGCTTTCCTGACTGAATGAACTATATTTCAGACAGGACTTGTTCTGTTTGGATGTTCACAGAGCAGTTAAGTTTCCACTGCGTTATTTTCCCTTTCTTTTGCCTGTTTTAGGGAATTACCAGTGCATTTTGTGCATCTGTCCTGACTGTCTCCTGCTTTCCACCCCATGCTATGTTGGCTGGAAATGCACAAGGTTGTTTGGAAGAAATTGCAGCAGCCAATAATTGAAATTCTTTTTAGCACTTAGTTGGGAGCAAGGCAGATGTGCAGAAATAGGAGAGAAGGGAGAGGACAATTAATTTTTATTTCACAGTTCAGAAAAAAAATACCACACACACTCAAAAAAAGGGTTTTTAGAGCACATCATTCATTTGGTTATATGTATCAGGAAGGAGATACTGCACTGGACAAGTGGAAACATTGCTTTGTTTAAATTAATTACAAAAATTTGAATTAGCATTTAGCTTAACAAGGAAATACATGTGTAGAGGCTGTTCTCTGTGCTGTTCCTGCCTTTCCAGCAAACCCACTCAGGAACTGGATTACTGCCTTGCTATTTGCACACCCTTCATTAGGGGATCTCTTAATTAAATAACTATCATAGGCATGCTGTGTTTGGAGGTGGAAAAAATCTCACCTTTTAGCAGAATTCAAGATTTTGCATATCATCCTTCATGCCCGAGGGAAAACAGTGAGATTAAAATATTTTCCTACAATCCTGGTAAGATGGGCCTTTGTGACCAGATGGCCCAGGCTACAACTCTCGACTGTTATGGATGTGTTTTGTTGAGCTCTTGCTGATATAGCACAGGGATCTGATATTCAATTTTCAGTCTCTCTCCATATGTTACTTTTCTGGTTATGTGTCCACATCAACCAAATTAAATACAAACCAGTGGGATGCAGGATTAGCTTGTGATTGCAGTGACAGGTTCTTCACCACCAGGCTGTGGAAATGTTTTCTTGAGAGTGGTGGTTCTGTGCATCCACTTGAGGACAATCTCATCACCTCTAACTGTGGTGATGAACTGGATGATGGCACTTTGGAAGTTAATTCCTCACACTAAAGCAGAGATCAAGGAGCAGGAAGGTGACTGTGAAGGTGGCCAAAAAGTTCCAACCCTTTTCCCACACATTAGGAGAGAAAGGACACCTGCAAAGTGAGACTGTCCTACGGGCTCAAAGGATTTGCTCTCATGCTGCTGATGGACATGTGATGACTCAAAGATTCTATTCTTTAATTTAAAGGAATTGTCCTTCATAAGAATGAGTATTGTAATTCTTGGCATGCAAATTCTGGAAGCCGTGAGCGGCCTGGTAAAAATTGGCAGGAATTTTTATGCTCAGTGAAGGTCAGAACACAGAAAGAGAGAAACACAAGAGACTTTGAAGGAAACTGTTGAATAAAGAAAAAACAAAACTTTTTTTTTTGACAGTAAGTGAAAATGTTTTCTTAGTTATTTGTCTGTTTTGTCCTTCTGGAAGGAAGGGGTATTTCTTCAGGTATTTTGGATCAGAATTGTATATGTCCTTCCTGCCTCTGATCTGCACTCTCAGCTGCAGTGAGGTGGCAGGACTGACCCCAACAAAAGTTCAAGAGTAGACATGGTCCAGTCTAACAACAAGGATAGAAATCTTTAAGATCTGTGAGGAAGTGGGTTTTTTGGATTTTTTTTTCCCTCCTCTGAGCTGTGAATTTAAGGCAAAGAGAAAACACATCTTGTCTGTTAATGCAGCAGTCGGAAAAAAACCTGAAGAGGGGAGGAAGCTAAAGATAACTGGATGGAAAAGCTGCTGGAAGCTGACTATTTTCTGAGTGGCTATCTTAGTGAGACTATTTATACAGGATAAATTATATGCTTCCCAGAAGAGAATTGTTATGGACTGAAGATGCAGCTGTAAAAAATGTCAAACTTCAGGCAAAAAATTGAAAGGAAGTGTCGAGAGAGATGATCGTGATCCATCAACCTGTGAAGAGAACTTGGAGAGGAGGTTTATAGATTAGAGGAGGACATGTGAAAGACCAGAGAGGAACAAGAACAGCAGTGAAATAAAAGCTGAATTAAGAAGTGCTTTGGTTCTACTGGAAAATTAGGCAGAAAGTGAGAGGGTAAGAAGAGAGAGTGTAAAGAGAAGTGGAGGAGGAAAGGAACTAGTAGCTAGGATGGGGATCTAACCTGGAATCTAATGGTGTGTGCTGGCAGAGAAGGGAATGATGTGCAGAACATATTTATACCCCAAATCCTTTCCAGCCCCAAGAGAGAGATCTGTGGGACTGCTCACCAACTGCTCCCTTGGTAAAGTCTGAGTCCCAGCTCTTGGTCTAAATCTTTGTGTCTGTTACTAAAAGTGATGTGGAAGCAGGAGAATGTGTTTCTCACAGCAGAGCCAGACGTGGGTCTGAGGTCTGGGGGAAAAATCTGCTGGGTTTTGGAAAATTATTTTCTATGTTGTTTTTTTTTTGAATCATCGCCACATCAAATGGAACGTTGGTGCTGTTCCAAAGAGGATGCTCAGAAATTAGGAGGTGGTATCAGCAGGAA